TAAGACCTCTTTCAACCCAGCTCCACCATGGTGACTTGGAGGATGCAATTAGTCTTTAGTCACCTACCAAGCAAACCCAAACATGTCCTTCCAGCAGGGCTTTAAATAGCTGCCCAGCCTGGGGGCCCATTGTTTGATAGCTCCAGTGTGAATTCTGAAAATAGGAGGTTTGGACAGGATTTCCACTTTTGGAAGAGGAGGAAATGAAATCATCTTTTAATAAAGCTCTGTTTAGGGGTGTTTTGTCTCCATGTAGGCCTTGTTAAACAAGAAGCAGTCAGAAGAGTTGTGCTGCTGCCCTTTTAACTGCACCCCAGATCACAGGCACAGGTAGCAATTAGATGGACAAGTCTTAGCTGTACATTAATTTATCTGCTAATGACTTGCAGCTGAGAAATCCCCCCTGCTCTTGTGCTCATTGATCTACATGTAGAGGAAGCAGTGCTGTCATTCTGATACATCTCATCTCTTCAGGGATAAGGACAGACAGACCAGAGCGCCATGTCTTCATTTTTCATTCTCATCTTTTCCCCAGAGCAAGCTTCATTAAGATTCCTCTTTCATTCCCAGTAAGGAACTCTTCAATTCAAGAGCTGTTGTCTCATTTAAAATAATTTTGAAAGCGTGGTTTGATGTGTAGATGAGGAATTCACTTCATAGCAGCAGCATTAGGCACTGTACCCATCCCTGCATAAATTGAAATAGTTTTAAATTTCTGTATTTTTCCTGCAATATGTTGTTGTTTCTCCAAGCAGCTCCAAGTCAAGAATTGTTTCTAAGCTGGATTTAAAGTAACTGAGGAGCAAAAGGAGAAATGGTATAAAATGCAGTGTTGCTGGAGTTAAGGGATGGATCATTTGATTTTTATCAGAGACAGCATGCAAATGACCACATTTGGTACTGTGTCCAAAAAAAAAAGGATGAAGAAAGGAAGTGTAGCCAGGCAGTCTGAGATGGCAGCTAGAGAGAAACACTTAAGTTTGTGAGGAGAGTTAAAACTTGAACAAGGATACTGCTGGATGGTACAAGCATGACAGAAATTGAGTATTTAATAATTTCTATTGCTATTTGCCCAAAGGCCCTGATTTCTGGAGAAGACTGAAGGCAATCAGAAAGGTTGCTGGGCAGTATTGGGAACCTGATGGCAATATAAAGCATGGAGATTTCTCATCCCTTCTCTGAAGTGCTCTTATCTGTGTGATTTATTCAGTTCCATGTGTTTTCAACCTATGGAAATGCACACCTCTGTCAGTAGGCTCATTGCTCTTCCTGACTGTTGTGGTTTTACCCCAAACAGCAGCTAAGCCCCACACAGCTGCCTCTTGTGCCATGGGGAAGAGAATTGGAAGAGCAAAGGTGAGAAAACTTCAGAGTTGAGATAGAGCCAGGTTAATAGATAGAGCAAAAGCCACATGCAAACAAAGCAAAACAAGGGATCAGGTCACTCCTTTCCATGGGCATGCAGTTGTTCAGCCATCCTCAGGACAGCAGGGCTCCATCACACACAGTGGAGATTTCCTCCTCCTTTCCCCAGCTCTGTACACTGACATTGGGATATCCCTCGGGTCACTTGGGGTCAGCTGCCCTGGTTGTGTCCCCTCCTAACTCCTTGTGCCCCAGTTCTCCTCTCTGGTGGGATGGTGAGAAGAAGAAAAGGCCTTGGGTCTTCGGAAGCAATGCTCAGCAAGAAGGAAAATATGCCTGGTTTAGCAAAACTGTTTCCAGCACAAATCCAAAGCAGCACCACACTAGCCACTTCCAAGAAAATTACTATTCCACCAGAACACCAAAACTAACCCACTGACACAGCCAGAGTTTTTTCTTTTTCCCCTTTCAGTCCCAGACATTTTTCTGTTCCACATCTAGGCAGGTGTATGAGCAGTCCATAGTGGATGGACAGAGGTGATGGAACCACCCTGATGGCTCATAAGTGCATAACTTGGTGCTTAACCCATACTAGGAGAAAGCCCTGCTGTCTGCCAGAGGGAGCAGAAGGGTGAAGCACAGGAGCAGTACTGTTCTGGCACTGCCTGGAGCTCTGTGTGATTGTGAACAAGTTACTTAACCTCTTGAAAACAGATTTGATTTTGCAGTGCTAATTACTTACCTCCTGAGAGTGCCAGAAAGCTCAGCTCCCTTCTGGGACAAGGGCTGTAGAAGTTCAGGTATTAGTCCAGACCATTGGATCTTTGATGTGGTGAGAAGTGCTGCTCCACTGATGGTTCCTTCAGAAGGTTCCTGTACTGGGGACATGTTTGCTCACACTGCTCCAGCAGCCATTTCAAAGCAGGAGGGCAGAGACCTCTTGAGCAACCTTTCAAGTGTTGTCTGCTCTTGTTATATCCTGGCTCCCCTTTCATTTGAACTGCTTGCCAAAAGTCAGAACCTGTCCCATGTTCTTGCCCCCATGTCTGACATCTTCTCAGATGTGAGGAAGCACAACATCAAAGCACTGCAAGCTGTTGCCCTTTTGAGGAACATTCCCTAGGGTTTAGCGTGATGCTTGTTTGATCCTGTTAGATAAAAATGGACTGTCAGCTCTGTCACTTTCTCTTCTAGGCTGCATATTCAATATCTGGGGAAGTTTCAGTAGAATCCTTGTTGGCCACATGGTCTTTTTATCACCTTCCCTTGTGTTGCCTTTTGCAGCTGGTGTTTAACACACACTCCATCCAAGGGAACTTTGTGTACATCCGTGATGAGCTGCTTTAAGGAGACCACACGTCTTGACAGAGGTTCCTGTAGTTGTTGTCTCGATGGAAGAGCCTTTGCTGTCCCACAGCAGAGTTGTTTGGCATTGTGACAAGGAAGTGACTGTCCCAAATGGTTTCTCTGTAGCTGCTCGTGGGCTGTTTTGGCTTGGTGCATCAATCCTGAAAGTCTGCTGGCAGAGTAGTTGTATTCTAGGTTATTCTGCAGATGGGATTCTTATGGGAATAGGCAGAAAATATTTTTTAAAAATTGAATTAAAGGTTTAGCTGTCCTCATGCTATTAAGAAAGCTTTTACTGTGTTTGTTTTTTTTAAACTCTGCGTTCTAGCAACCTTCCACTGCTCTGCTTTAGGGAGAGCCCAGTTTGCAGGATTTGAGTCAGCTCCTGTAGGCTGGCACAGTCCTCTCACAGTCTGCATGGAGATCCCTTTTGTGGAGGCTGGAAACAAAATTAATGTCTTACCTGTTCTGTATTTGATACCTTTAGGAAGATCAGCAAAGCAAGAAGATGTAGGGGGAGGCATGTACAGTTCTAAATGGCCTTAAAGGCAAGTTCCCTCAAAGTTGGATCATCCTCCCCACTTCTCCCTTGAGCATTTGGGGTTTTTACTGTGAAGATGAGCAGAATCTGTGAATGAGTTCCATCTGTGCAGCTGAGTACTAATACAGTAATGGATTAGAATGCACATGCAGTATTTTCAAGAGCAGTAGAAGTTCTTCCTACCCCTATTCTTCAAAACAACAGAAATAAAATCTACTCCTTCAGCTTTCATATCATCCTCTTGCTAATAGGTATCTGGAAGGAAAGTTTTCTCACCTTTCAGCTTCAGAGCATCCTGGTTGTATTGAGCAGTTGCAGCAACATCCCTGAGTGTTTTCCTCCCTTTCTCCACTTGCCTTTGATACCTTTCCAGCTGCATTTTCTCTCCTTAGGAAGCCACAGCCTCATCTCTGACAATTTTGGTGTTACCCACAGTGTCCTAATAGCAGTTTTGACCTTTCAATTAACTTCAGGATTGCCTCTTTCAGTAGACAAAATCTGTACAGATGCCAAAAGCCTCAGAACAGATTTGTGAGGTTGGCTGAAAGACCATGAAGATTAGGGACATATTTTCCCTTTTGTCAGGGAAATCAACAGCAAAAGGCCCCAACAGAAGAAGGAAACTTTCCCACTGACCACAAATAGGGGCTTAAATTGAATTTTCAAGCCTTTAAAAATAAATCGTCATTTTGTATTTAATTAATCAGGGTTTCGTGAATGTGGTAGTATGCTGAGGTCATGGGCAAAAAAAGCTTTTCCAGTAATTAGTGCAGGGTCCATGCTGTTCTGGCAAAAACAGCCATGACGTCAGTCTGAGGCTGGAACAAGAAACTGTACCACACAGTGAACTTGAAACACAAACCTTATTATTGAAGGGGCATGTCTGACAACTACAAGTTCTGGTTGTGTTGGACACATAGTATATTTTTTCTTTTAACATTCCCAAAAGGTGTTTGGTTTGGTTTGCTGTTTGGTTTTTTTTTTTCCCTCAAGTTTCTGAGTCAATGAAATTGCTGCCATGCCTCCTTTCTCCTGTTTTCCTGACCTAAATAAATAATGAAATTACCAGGCTTCCAACCCTCTTGTTTTGTAAATATGGAAAGTGGCCATTTCCATGTTTTTATTTAGCAGAAGCAGGTTAGTTTTTAGTTTTGTTGTGTGAACCCAAATGCAAGGGGCAGGTGCCACAGTGAGCACAAACAGGACATGCCCAGGCAGCTCGTGCTCTGGTAGCCATGTAGACCTTTGTTTTAGGTGAAATTTCAATGTTTTCAGTGCAAGCCAAGTATTGTGACAGCATTTGGAGTATGTAGTTTTGCAGCACTCAGATTCTAGTTTCTGGTGAGTTACTGGAGTCCTGCAGAGCAGCAGAAGAAAAGTTTGTCCATATAACCTGGCTTTAGGTATGATAGCAAAATCTTTTACTTAAATTACTGAAAACTCTTGAGATTGCTTGTGGCTGTATATAAATAGCCTGGGTGGCTTATAGTTCTTGGCTTATACTGGGACAGAGAAGAGGTATACATCTTTTCCTTTTAAAATCTATAAGAAATACTTATCTCTCATGATAATATAAATGATGATGCATATAAATTCCAAAGACAATGTTAATTTAGAGTTGTGATCCTCAATAACTTGGTCTTACTGCATTTAATGCAAAGAGTGTGGGTATCTAAGGAATTGCTCAGTTGTGTTTCCTCAGCCCATGCCGTTTTTTTTTACCATTTGTCTGAATTTTGTTTTGCAGGCCATGACTGCTGTGAGACAGTGAAGGTGGCACTTTGTGCCTCTAGAGAAGGTCACCCCGTTCTGGTTGTGGCAGAGGAGAGTTTCCAGTTTGTCCAGGACGAAGCCTACGATGCTGCCCAGTTTCTGGCCACCTGTGCTGGCAACCAGCAGGCGCTGAACTTCACACGGTTCTTGGACAGGTCACGGCCACCTGCTGCAGACGTGGACTTCTTGGATGAGAAAGTGGCCTTGGCATTTCGACACCTGAAGCTGCCAGCAGAATGGAACGTGCTGGGAGCAGACCAGGCCCTGAGCGGTGAGGACTGTGGGGCACAGTGAGATTGGCAGGTTGGGAGGGAGGTGAAAAGCTTGGGAGAAAGGGTTCCCTGCACTGGAAGCCTGCCATGTACTCTCCAAAAGGTGTGGTGGTGGTCTCTGTGCTCAGAGAGGGGATGTGATGGCCATCCACATCTCATATCTTGCACTTCAGCCTCCTTAAAATATGTAAGGTATATAAAATACACCTTACATACATATAAAAATATCTTATTTTATATAAAACATATAAAATATTTTTATTATATTTATTTATATCTATATATATTATATATTTATTATTACATATATTTTATTATATATAATATATAAACATATATATTTTATTATATTATATATACTTAAATATATTATATATATTATATATTATTTTTCTATTTTTATATATATATATATATATATATATATATATATATATATATATATATATATATATAATCGTAACTCATGATTTCTCCTGCTCTTCTCTTATGGAATATCACAAGCTTACAGTCAGTATTTTCACATACAGCCTGAAAACATTTTTTGTGTGTGTGTAACAATGGTATGTGTATCAGCATTGTGCTGTATGCTGATAGAACCCTGTGTGTGGAATATCTGATGCTCCTGGAAATATCCTTGTGCCAGAAATTTGGCATGTGTAGTTAATGTTGGCTTTATAGCACAGGTGCAAAACGACTGTGACATGAAAAATACATGTGATTTTTCTTGGAGAACTTGAGGCTCTGGCCCTGAGGGTTTATATCATATCCCTGCTTGCACAGAGGATGGGTTAATACTGCAGTTCCCCAAAATAAGCCTGGACAATTTTGCAAATAAGGGAAGGGTGGAAAAACTTGATCCTTAACCACAGCAGTGAAGGCTACTGAGAGCTTATAAATAAATCCCAAGGCTGGCCCGAAGTCTCTGGTGGCTGCTGAAGCAGAAGTGCTGAGGGGTTCAGAGTGCTGTGGTGTGTCTGTGTCCTTGGAGTTCTGCCTCTTTTGTCACAAGGGTGTAAAAGGAAACACACATGGGACCAGGAGACTACTTCCAGTATGTACAAATCCTTGCTGTAAATTTCCAGGGTATTTTGACAAACAGTTTCACTTCAGGAATGTGACTGTGAGGCATCTGTTGTCTTTTTTAAGATGCAGTGGCACAAACACTTGAATAGGGCTGGGATGTGATTTGCTCAGTTCTGCTCACTGCAACAGGGTTTTCCATGGGAGATTTTCCTGCTTTATTTTTATCCAGCTTGCTGACTGCTTTTGTAAAGCTCAATACAAGGACAGACAATTCCCATGTTAGCAGACACTAAAATATTTGATCATATTTAATGGCTCCTTCATAGAAATTCAACAGCTGTCACATGTTTACAAGGAGATAACACTTCTTTTCCTCTGTGTGGAAGTGACTGATGTTTCTTTCTGCATTTGAAAAGTGCTGTGATAATGCAGACATTTTTGGTTTAAGTGATATAAATCACTATGACCACACGTTGATCTTAACAAAAACTTCGAAACTCTGAATTGTTGCTGATTTTGCAGGAAGGCTGAGATCTGTTTTTTTTTTTTTTTTTTTAAATTATTCTTTGGAAAACCAGCACCTCAGTTTGCTTGTGTGTCTGGAAGTTGTGGTTATGCAGGACTCTGTATGTTAATGGACTTGTAGAGCATCCACAGTGAGAAGGGGGAGCTCTGTAGTCCCAAATTCTTTAACTCTTGAGTGTTTTGGCATCTTGTGGTGAGGTGTGCGTAGATAAAAGTGAATAAATATAATGTCACTAAATGCAAATTTAATTCAAGAATATTCGTGCTGTAAAATATGTTCCTTTTTCTTAGAGGCAGAGTTATCTGGTAGTTTTTTGTAAGGAGATATTTACACATAGGGAATTTGGGGGGATTTTTGTGTCTGTGACAGGAAGGATTTGCATACAGAAGCATCCTTTTGGTCATGAAACTCTGTGAGATGGAAGAGATGTCCCTGGTTTATGATGGAGCGCCAGATTAGAAAAACCTCTGTGCTGAAATATGGCACCCTTATACTGGTGCTTGTGTGTAAATTTGTGTGTGGGAGAGAGAAAAGCCCTGTAGAGATTGCACTGTAGGAGTGTTTGAACAGTTAGACACATTCTAGCCAATGCCTGCAGTGGGACACCCTGTCCTGCACTGCTTCACTACCTATGAACAGCCACTGCAATTCATGCTTCACATTTCCCTAAATGTCAGCACCAGATAACTTCAAATAACCTTCTCGAAGGAGAAAATACTATAGAAATGAGAACAAAAGGAAATGTCAGATCCCTTCTTGAAAGGCGTTTAGCGCTGCCTCTGAGCTGGCACGTCTCTATGGGCCCTTGTGGGCTGGAAACAAAACGCTGCTGTTCAGCACAACCTCCGAAGGCAGGAGCGAGCCAGGAGCCCCGAGTGCCACAGCCTGATGGGGAACTGCTGCTCAGAGGAGGCTGCTGTTGTCAAACACGCTCAAAGGTCGATTTTCAAAGGCCTGAAGTAGAAATCTAACTTTTGCAAAAGTTAGGAAGTAATGGCTTTCTGCAGGCAGAAGCTGGGTACAGGATTCACTGCTGAGCGCAAATCCAGGCTGAATTTTGAGGAGGGGGTGGCTTTGTGTGGAGGCTTTTGCCTGCACCCAGCCCTGGCCAGGCTTTGAGCAGAGGGCAGGGAGTTCACTGCTGTCACCCCAGAGGGCAGAGAGGCTGCTGGAAAGGCCACCTCTGTCCCTGGGCTGTTGAACTCATCTGCTGTGTCACTGAATGGACACAGCTGCAGAACTAGGGATGGGAGGATGTAGGATAGCTGACAGCAGAGGTGCTTGGGCTCCATTCTCTTGCTGGGACTGGCAGAGGGTACTCAACATTTGGTGGGATGAACTGAGAGGCAGGAAAGAGCCCGGGACAGTGTGTGGCTGGGGAAGAGCACAGTCCCTGTGACACAGCTGTGTTCTTCACCAGGCATACACTGTCTCTCCATAGCAAGCAGTTCCTGGGCCCTGCTGTTAGTTATCTATCTGTATGAGCTCCAATGGCATCCACAATTTCAGAATATCTATAATTAAGGATTAGTCTTGTTACTGTGGTATTCCAAACACAGCATTTCTTTCAGGTGCCATATAATCATGTCTGTCTTAATAATTATAAGTGCACTGTAACTTTCTAAAGAACATAGTTGTTACTGCTGTCAAAAGTGGGGCTATTTACTGTTCTCAGTGGCATTTAAAGGCAGCTATTTAAATGGAACAGATTGTTACACTTTATGTCTAGAAATCAAAATTTAATATGTATCCTGAGGATGTATGCAATGTAAATACAGGACTGTGATGTTCTATTTTAAAGTACTGAAGAGAAAATAAGCTAACTAGAAAACCACAACTGAATATTTTGAGGTATGAGTAATAATTACAGCTTGTTTATGTTGCAGTGGAGTAAAAAAAAGGAGAAAAAAATAGGGAGGATCTGAGGCTCAGGTAGGAAAGCTTAGAGAGTTTGATTGTATCACTAGTAAGCAGATCACTTTCAAAATAACTTGGAAGTAATATTCTGACAAAACCTTTGAGGAAACAGTCTTTCCATTTTGCTTATTAAAAGTGAGTGGTGAAACTCAGAGCTGTGGTTGATTTTTGGTTGTGTGAGCTTTCTGAGGTGGTGCTTCAGGAGCTGGTTCATGTTGGCAGAAGTTTGCTGTGATCACCGTGATGTGGAGCAATTCCCCTGGGAGTGTAAGGACTGCTGTGAGATAGTGAGCCAGCTTTTCAAGGAGATAACCAGGAGACCATCAGATTAGATAGAACACTTAACTGATTGCAGTTACTGATGTGTTGAATATGTAGAGCTTCCCAGAAGTGCTCTGGGACAAACGCAGTCCTTCAATAAGAGCTGTTTGGGAAATTAAACTCTATGACCTCACCAGGTGGGGGGTGAGTATAGAGGGAGACTCTCTGCCCTGGTTTGAAATAGTCTGAATGATTATGGGTTTAATAGCTTCATGTACAAAACCAGTAGGATTTCAATGTACAGGACAACATGAGTCTTACCAGGAATACAGATCATGAATTGTTTTGTTTGTTTTTTTTTTTTTTACATGAAAGGAGAATGTCACCAAAAAAAACCATCTTATTTTAAACAAAAAATCCTAAAAAACCTTCTAAAAACTTTCAGAATTTGATTACTAGTACCTAGTCTTTTTTCCCATGAGTGGATGCTAAAGTTATGCTACTGATGATGTATTTCAGACATGAAGCTTTAATCTGTTCATCTGCTGCACTCTTGTTATAGTTTCTCTTGGAACCCTTTCAATGTAATAGTTACAGGTGTTCTTTTGGTTGGGTTTCATATCCTTTCCAGTCTGCTGCTCAGCTTCTGTCCTCCCTGATAAAGGATGGTATGGTATAAATCAACAGGATCTGTTCAGTGCCAACAGCACAAAGTGCTCTGTTCAGCAGCAGTCCTTGATAAGATGTAAAGAGTCTTTTCCATACCTAAATTTAGTGCCCTCTGCAGTGGAAAATGGGAAGCAGAAAGCAACTTTTGTTCAGACAGTATCAGAAATGTGCTGCTCAAGACTGGGATGTACCATTTAGTCTGTGGCTGAGATATTGTTGGCATGGAAATATTCCTGTTCCCTTTGATATTAGTGGGAATGGGGACATGGAGATCTTTTGGTGTGCTTTGAAAAATTTCTTGTTTATTGGATTAAGAAAGGAATTACCCACACATCTCTTTACTAACTGAGCTCATAAGTCCAAACACAGCATCTTTGCCTTGACCTTTCTGCAGAGCAGTTGTCTGCTGGAGCCTTCCTCTAGGACCTCAGTGTGAGGTGGCAGCTTGGTTCTGGGATTCTTTACCCTTGTTTCTCAAGGATTGATCTGAGCAGTGAGAACATTTCCAGCAGAAAGCAAGACTTTGGGGCCAGATGTGATTGTAGATTTCCAAATTGCTGAGTGTGTATGAGTTTGGGTGAGAACCAAGTAAAGGTCATGAGCACAGGAAGACAAAGCAATGCTACCCCATTCCATGGCTGGCTCATGAGATGTCTCAGGGCATGGAGCATAAACTGAGCATTAGGTGTAGTTTACTCTATCTGGAAAGTTCTTTTTAAAAAGGAACAGTAGTTTTTGGGTTTTTTGGTATTTAATCAGGTTTAAAATTAAAGTTTTTACTTAGTGTTCTTGGGCATGTCATACCCAAAGTTGTTTATTTTTTCCCTTCAATGCTTATTTGTTTTGTGCTAATAGCACCTTAAACCTTAATCCTTTACTATTAGCAAAGTACATATGACAGTCTTCTATGGAAATTTGGTCCTCAGTTGAGCAGATAAACTGTCTGTTCATGTATCACAGCAGAAAACAATTACACAAAAATAATATATTCAAAGTCTTGTGTTTTGCCAGCTGGACTGGAGTACCCTGCCATTATGGGGCAATAATCATATGTTTCAACTCTTGCCTATTACTAGGAAATGAGAAAGGAACAAAACAATCTTGGCCTTTTCAGTATCGTGTGTCTTGTATTTCCACAATTTCCTAATTACCAGGAGCTTCTTGTTGACATTCAAACAACAGCCATTTTAAGACAAGGAGCTCTTGCTTGGTATGTGGTAGGAGAAGGGGCTCTGGCTTTTGCATGTTAAAGCTTTTGATATCCTTTCATGTGTGGGACATTTTGCACCATGACAAGATCATAAAATCATTGCCTGGATTTCCAACATTTTGTGTGACAAATTTCATCCCTTCAAAGGAAGGAAGTCTGCAGGGATCTGTCTTCCTCCCCTCTCCATCCAGCAAAATGTCCATACTTGATGTAGACCAGCTCTTGTCTAGTTTTGAGCAACACCAGACACCAACAGATGTATTTTCATTATATATTAGTAGTTAATCCAGCCCACAGATGGCACATGCCTTTTTAACTGTCACCATGCAAGTTTTGCACACTCCAGAACCTTCCAAAGCCATTGCCTGGGGCCCCTGCAGTTGTTGGATGTACAGTACTTTGTCTCTTCGCTGCCATCATCTGTGCCCATCTGTTAGGGTGGCCTCGTGCCAGGTTCTGTGTCAGGCAGAGCCTTCCAAAAGTGGATGGTGAGGCTGTGTGTTTAATATGCTCTGGTGGCAGCACGCCACCTCTTCTTCTACAGATCCTGTGCACACACTGTCACTGCCCAGAGGCATCGGGGCAGTGCCACGTTCACCTCAGCTGCGTTTGCAGACACCTCCAGCCGCACTCTGGAGCTGCCCTGTCCACTGATCCAGTGATAGAGGAGATTGTTTCAATGGAACAGGAAAGATTCTCAGAAAGTGCAGCCATATCAGCAGATTGGGACAACTGGGGAGGCATTGTGACAACTGGGAGGGGCCGTTTCATCTTTGGACATAGGAGACAGAGAGAAGCACCCATCTGGCTCAGGGACAAGAGGAATATCTGCCTGCATCTTGCAGAACTTGCAGTTGGCAGTGTGTATTTAGTGGTGAACCATGAGCTGGTGAGCAGAAGATGCTTGTCCTTATTGGCAATGCTCTCAGCTACAGGAGGAGGAAGCATTTTGGTCCAGGGATCTGTGCTTATGCTTTGCAGGTCTGCAATGCTGTATTTACTGCATTGCTGGGGCAAGACTGTCTGTTCTGGTTAGGAAGATGATTTTCCCTTTCAACAAAGCAGCCATAACACGAGATCCCATGTGAGAACAGAACGTGGTCAGACTAGTGCAGCACATTGTTTATTTGGATGGCAGTTGTTTGCTCTGACAGAAATGCTTTTGTGCCTCCTGCATCTCTGTAGGAAGAATTACACCACATTAATTATGTTGGTTCTGCCAGTCAGTGTACAGGCAGTGTGGGAGCTTTATGCATGTACAAGTTCTTTGAGTAAAACATTGGGTATTTGCTTTCACTCTGAAAAGTCCTACCTGTTTCCACATTTTGCAGCCTCATCAGTACCTTTCTTCTGTGTCTGTCTATATGCTATGTTATTTTTCATTTTTTCTTAAAATCCGGGGCTGCAACCATTGATTAACCTCCATATTGTGCTATTTCTAAATCATTACACTCTGTAACATTTAATATCCCAGTCCTTCTCATTATTTAGCCAAAGGCTGAGAATTTGTCTCTGGGAGAGCTCAGCCATTCCCTTTTCTCTGATCAGCTGGAACCTCCATTCAGACACACTTGTGTATTTAGGGCAGCTCGGTTTTGCTTTACGGTAATCAAGAGGAGGTTAGGGGGAAGACTTGGTTTGTAGCCCAGAGACCTAATTTGGAGTCATTCAGAAGGGAAATAGTGCCAGAAAGCCTTGGTTCTTGCATACAGATTAGTTCTTCGGAATTGAATCCAGAAAGTTGTGAAAAATTGTGTGTGAGGCAGTGGAGAACTGCCCGTTTTTTGCTTTGTTTTGTTTTTCACTGAAGGTCTTAATGATGTCCCTAAAGTAAGTAAATAAGCAAGAGAAACAGCAGCACTTTGAAGAAGTGACTTCTCTTGGGGCACACTTCTTAAAGAAAAAAATACAGAATGAAATCCTAAAGCCATTATGTGCTTGCATTTTAAAATCTGTCGTATAGATTTGGCTGGAACCCAAATTAATAACCCAATAAATCATTCTTGTAATATTAAAGGGTTTATACCAAGCATGCTCATTGGCATGACTTTCTAAGACCCAGTTGGTGCCTTTTTGTTGTTGTTGCTGTCAGTCAATACTGAAATCCTTTGTTAATTAAAAGAACAAATTTTTATTTCTCGCAGTTTTTTTAACCCAAATGCTTTTGCCTTTCATACAGAAATAACAAGCTTTGATCTGTAAATACTGGATTTCAGCAGTGCATCTGGAGCTCATTTCTGGTTAAAGCTTTTCAGAGCATCATTCTAGTGCTGCAGCTTTTGGAGCAGGGGGTTATTTTTCTGAGATGAAAGCTCAGGCTCTAGAGTGACTTTTACCAGATTAGTAGGTCGCAGTTATTAAATACAAAAAGCATCAGTGGAGATTGGTAGTTTATAAATGCTGCTCCTCAGAATGACAGAACTACTGTATTTACTGAGAAAAGCTGGTCTGAGGTAATCAAACCAGGAAAGAAAACCCTTGCTTTTTTTTTTTTGTCTATATGAGTTTTTAAACAGTTCTTTTTTATAACTGCTTTGGATATGTGCATCAAATGTAATTTTTTTTTTTTTTTCTTCATGCCTTGGGATAAATCAGCATCTTGTTGAGTGACAAAAGTTGTCCGTCCCTAAAATCCTGGTCCTGGTTGTGTGAGGAGAAGGTTTGGCCATCCAGGAAAACCCACCTGACCACATTTCTGTTTGGATGTGCTGGAGCTTGGTGGTGGCTGTGGCTGTTCAGGAAATGGTGGCGTTTTCACATTGACTTCTGTGGTCAATCTCAGCATGAGAGGTCCTGAGCACTTCCAGCCCCACCAGATCACATCCCTCACTTTACGACTGGTGTCTCCTGCCCATTGGCAACCAGGCTGTTTTTCCAGGTGCTGCAGGTTCCTTTAGGCTGTCAGCTCCATGCCAGCCGCCGTGTGGTGGAGCCGGGATGTGGGGATATAACATTTCCCCTAACCCACAAGCCTACAAATTCCCATTTCTTTCTTTCTTTCTTTCTTTTCCTGCCTTCCCAGAGAACATCCCTCGGGAGACACTGATGCATTTTGCGGTCAGGCTGGGTCTGCTGCGCCTGACGTGGTTTCTGCTCCAGCAGCCGGGTGGAAGAGGAGCTCTCAGCATCCACAACAACGAAGGGGCAACGCCCGTCAGCCTGGCCTTGGAGAGGGGCTACCAGAAGCTGCACCAGCTTTTGACAGAGTAAGGATGATTTGGTGGTTCCTTTGCTGGTTTTCCATTCTCTGCCATGCTTGGCTTTGCTGTACATTATCACTCAATGGTGTCTGAGTGCTATATTCCATCCTTAAAGGCAATTTTGGTGTAATCTTGCTTTTACCATTCTTGCTAGCAGCAGTGGGGACAGTCCTGAGGGTTTAGGGGAAATGCAATTATGTTTTGGAGGGTGTTTCTTGTTGCTCAATATTCTGCTTCCAGCTGTCATGTAAAGTCCAAAGTGAGTCACTGTAATATTGACTAATTAATACAAATCTTATGCAAACACAAATGAAAAAGCTTTTCTTCAAGCGAGCACACCTGCCCAGAAGAGGGGAGTTAATAGGCATTGTGGACTGTTGTTTCTTACTTCTTAGAGAGAGAGTTTTTTTAGTTAAATAAAATAGTGATCATTATATTGAAATAAGGCAGCATCTTGAGATGAATAGGCATTTTACTGGTGTACGTTAAAAAAAATAAGAATTAATGCAAATATTTAAAGGAGAACAGAATATTTGACAGAAACAGGTCTGTTGTAAATGGTCTTGAGAAAAAGCCAGGTCTTACAACACATAGCAAGTAACTAGTGGCATGAGCATTTATTGCACTGCTTTACAAGGAATCCTTTGGAAGATGGCAAGTTAGTTTTGAGCAGCAAATGTTTGGAGATCTAGCTTTAATAGCTGAGGCTAATAAAGACAAGGAGCTTAAAAAGATCTCAAGGGGGCTGTTTGTATAGGAGAAAAGATTTAGTCTCTGTGTGTGTTATTCTGATGCCTGGTTCTCTTAAGCTTTTATAAAGTTTGTTATAAACTTTGTCTTTCTGAATTGATTTCTGAGATACTTGGAGTTTATGTTGAATCACCCAATGTCATGTTTAGGAGTCTGCTGTGTTGTCCACATTATCACGCAATGTTCCCTGTTAAAGATTGTAAATTATTCTGCTTTCTGTAGTTGTTGGGTGCAGTGTTTTGGGGCAGAAAATAAGATCTGTATTGCTAGAGTGATTGCATTTAAGTTTTATCCTTAAATTCAGTCAGCCACTTGGAAAGTGAGGGTGAAGGAGAAGGTGCAGGGTGGGATGGGACCTATACCCAAATACCTTTTCCTGCCACTCTTGCTGGCATCAATACAGGGAGGATGACAGTGTTACATTCTTCTCCATCAAGGTTGGTCATACTGTGAAAACACAACTATCTTGCAGGCTATATTGTAAAAATGGGATGTGTAAATTCATCCTGTAACTGCAGCAAGGTTCTCCAAGGTGAGAATAACCACATTAACAGGCTTTACATACTGTCAGGAAGCTTAAGCTGGCCAAAACTTGATTATAGACCTCACCGCAAATACTGCAACCCTAATGCGAGTAGAGCTGGTAATTTAAATAAAAATGGGAAGTAAACAAAACTATTGCAACAGCTATTCATGTATTTGGTGAAGTTTTTCACAACTAGCTCCAGTTTTGGAATGGCAGTTCTCACTCAGTGGAATGAAAAGAGGACTGGGGTTCCATGACATTGTCCTGTGTCGTTGCCTTTAAGGAATGCTGCTGGCCCAATCCTTGGAATTTCTCTGGTGACCTTTGCAGTTTGTCTTTGAAAATAAGACACGAGCAACTGCAGACCATCAAGGTCCCAATTCCTGTTCTTCTTGGTATATCCTTAAACTGTTCTTTGTGATTTGCTTCCCCTTGGACTGCTGTGTGGAAATAAAATGTATAAATATCTGACAGCCATGCCACAGGTCCCCTGACTTTGAGAACTCTTCTATTCACATGAAGCCCTAAAAACAGAAATCCATGGGTACTGGAAATCCTGGTTCCCTTTCTCAGTGGGTAGGATGGTGGTGGAGCATCATGATGTGACCTTGAGACTGACTGGAGCAGTGACATGGGGATGGCCACAGCCCTTCCCTTCAGGAGGGTGATGTTTAAAAAAATGGGCACACCCTGATTCCCCAGCAGTGGTTTTTGTTTTTTTTAATTATGCTGAGCATTTTCTGCAAGATAGGATCAAGACTTGAAAATCCCTATTAGGAGGAGAAATACTGAGCTTCAAAACACAGAAAATTCCGTGAAGAGAGTGAGTGTCATTTATGTGCTGTCAAAACACAAAGGACACTGTACAACCTCCTTTCTGCACTCTTCCTGGGCTCACACTGTATAATCCATGCACACAAATTTGGCACACAGCTCGTCCCACTCAGCAAAACACAGAGCAGCAATGCATGTTAGTGAGGGCCCCTACAAAGGAGTCATTATTTTTACAAGTAATTAAACTGCACTGTGCCAAATAAATTAATGCAGTGTGTTTTGTGATGCATTATCCTTGGGGGGAATTTATTGTTCTCTTGCTTGCTAATTTGCAGGACCCTCCATTTTACAATAATTCTCCCAGCCAGCATTGGGAAGGGGTAAAATTTTGCCATAATTAGGATACAGTCATTAAAGAGCAGCCATAAAACCTTCTCCGTTGTTGTTTTGCCTTAGTTTGTCTGCAAAGTAGCTCGATTCAGCTGCAGTGTAAATATTTTTCTCAGAAACTAATTTCACTGGTGACATTTTGAATTTCTGATGAATTTATCTGATGAACTTTCCCTTCTCAGCTTTTACAGTATTTCATGTAAAAAAAAAAATTATAATAAAAAAAAGATGCTTCCTATGTAAGTTTTCCATCCCTGGAAGTATTCTGCTCTGTGGTGTGCACTGGCTTTTCCTCCTCAGACAAGAAAGGTGCATGGGCTGGTTCTTTTGGGACCCAAACAAGGAGCTGTCACAGAGCCCATGTAGGTCACCAGGGATCAAGAGTTAATAGCAGCATTCATTAATAAATATTTATATAAGCAAATATATATTCATTATCAATAAACATCCATCAGTTGTGTATCATCCCTGAGGGGACTTGTTTTATCTCCAAGATGAAAACTGTGCAGTAAACAGTGTCCTGCAGTGGAAATGGAATAGGACAGTGCAGAAGTGCAGTAGTTTTATAGGGGTAAAACATATATAAAGATTTATCTGTAAAGATAACTTTGGAAATGGCAGTTTGCAAAGCCTTGGAGTTTCACCTAATTCCAGAGTGAATGGTCTGTGGTTGGAGTCTGTTTCTCCCCAGTGTTGGAGCTGGGTGATGCTGGCTCTGGAGAGGCAGCACAGTCATTAAACAGGCTGGTGGACCTCCCTGAGTAACTGCACAGCTGCAGAGTGCAGGAGTTGGTGTTTCCCAGTGCAGTCAGGGCAGTAACACAATCCCCTTCCAGCTCCATGTTCTGCAGGGCTCTCACAGCAGTGGGGAAAATGGCTTCAAGGCACTGGGAGCGTGTGGGATTGCAGAGAGGCTGGCAGTGCTCTTTGTAAAACATGCAAACACTGACCTGGTTGCTGATTTTATTTCTGTCCAGTAACACTTCTTTCCCCAGCAGAGCCAAATGCTTGTAGTTCCTTCACAGCTGAGAGTGATTTATGTCCTCTGAAAAAAAGGAAGCAAGAGAAAAATAAAGCCCATTTAAAAAAAAATTAAAATTACATTTTTCTCATCCCTGCAAAGAGTTGCAACAGTCTCTGAGGTTTTTACTGTAAACTTTTTTTTACTTTTGCTGGTTTCTCTACTTTTTGCTTTAAAGTATTTCTGCACAGCTCTGGGATTGCTCTTCCCTTCAGATATCCTGGTAACAGTCAGGAGTCTCAATCTGTGAAACTGTAAATTAGTACAGATCTGTATTTCCAAAGTTAAAATTATTTAATTAACACACATGAGGAATAGCTCACTGGTAGCAGAAGGGTTTTGTGAATGTTTTTCGATCCATGATTATCACTTGCTATTGTTCTGATTTTACGTAAGTAATTGGTGAAGTCTGGGCTGTAATCTCCATGGTGCCTCTCAAATAAGGATGCTTTTTCAGTGACTTTACTTTTACAGCTAAATACACTTTTCTGCTTTTCTGAGCCAGAGCTGCAGGAGGATTTGCCTTGCATGCCTTTTTTTTTTTTCACCCCAATTTAGCAGGGCCTTTAAGCAAATGTTTAATTCCAGAAATACCCAGTTTATGTTCAGCAGAGTGTTTAAGCATGATCTTAAAAACATGGTATACATACATTTTATTCCTGGCTAAGCAGATATCAGAGGCTGTAAGGTATATTGAATTAGTGCTGATGTTTCTCCATCTGTTCTTCCCTCCAAACCAAGCAACAAATCCATTTGATTGCTATTTCGGGAGCTGGATTTGAGATATGGCTTGCTGTGGTGTGGCAGGAGAACAGTTGACTTTTTATCTACAAGTGATGGCACAAGATTAATGTGTTAAGAGGGAGTCAGAAGTGTAGAAGGGCACTGGAAGAGGACTCAGAGAGGTGTGTGTTAAGGAGATGCTGTTTAGCTACAGACAGCAATCTGTCTGGAGCAGTGTGGGGGAGGCAGTGGTCTACAGGGTCTGGTTTTGTGCCTGTAGGATTTTCAGTTGAAACACCATCATTTAATAGCTTTAACATCATGATTAGAAAGATGTTGAGGTGCTGTGGGTTTCTTCTGGCCACAGCAGAGGAGCAGACTGAGAGTGGGAGGATGGGTCAACCAGGTGTAAACGTGGTGGAGCAGGAAGGGTTTGTGTTTCTCTCTTCTACCTACTCACCCCACACCAGGCTCCAACTTTTACTGACTTCCTTGTGTGTTCCCACATCCCTATGAAGACTTTTTATTCTTTGGCTCCCTCCTCTCCTTTGTTTTGTATGTAACCACCTCTGAATACAGAAGAGAGAGAAGGCTTAGTCCATGTGATATTAATGTTTCTGTATTCCCACTTGGAAATTGTGATCCTGGGAGATCATGGAAACAGACCTGTGAGGATGAGAAGGAAGAGATTTAGAAGAGATTTGAGAATATTTGCCAGGATATAAGAAGAAATTATTTTCTTTCCCCCAGCAATCCTGATCTGGAAGTGTTCCCAAAAATTATAGGGGCCATAAGTGCTGGACAGCCTTGTATGGTTGGTAA